TCGAAGCGGTTCCGAAAATGCATTCCCGTCTGGAGCCTTACGATGTGTGCAGCATCAACCAACTGCAATGCACATCTCGAAACTGGATCAACTGGAAGACGGCCTTCACGGTCGCGAGATCCGATCTGGTTGAAGGTCAAAATTCTAGCCGATTCCAGGCACCGATCCGGTTCGTGAGTGCCTTCGACAGGCGTCAAGCAATGCTCGTCTGTCGACAAGACTAGGCCTGATTTGGTCCAAATATCGCTGATAGCAACTATTCCTAAATGTCGATTTTTCGCTACAACCACCACCGAAATTTCGCGATTGGCCAACCAGAAACTAGTGAACATCCTTCGAGGCGGCTATGAAGGTGATAATCTATAAGCCCGTAGACTTGATCATGCCTCCACTAACCGGTTATTCAGCGGGAAGAGTAATTATTGTAATAACAAATTGCGTTACTAAAGTTATACTACTTATAAGTAGCCTAATTATTTAGTCTTAAATAATCTCACTAGTCTCTACGGTCATTTATTCATATCACACTGGTGTTATATGAAGGATCGCCATTGTTGAGGGAGGGAGGGAGGGCAGGCGAACTGCCTTACCTTCATTGCAAATGTCGCTGAATGTACGAAGAAAAAGTAACTCTGCGCCGTCTACACAAAGTATTACAATAAAAGAGAATCCACTTTCGCGGAAAGAACTAACAAATAGTGAAAATACATTTACAAGAGTATCTGGAGCCACTGCATTGCGGTTGTGGGTGGTAGGAAAGTGTCTTTATAACTCGTTTGGATGGAAAGTTCCAAGTCAGCCGAGGTGCCTGCTGGAGGAGAGAGAATTTCTGCTTTGTTCTGCAGCTCTACACGACCCTTTTGAGCACAGACTGGGCACAGCCAGTTCCGGTGGAAGAAGAAGAGTCCGGCAAAGCAATCGGCCGACGGCATGTCGGTTCTTTCGATTTGCAGGTGCGTGGGACGAGATCAGAAATGCACCAGCATCATGCCTCAACTATGTGTCTGTGCGTAGTTGTGTGTTTTCGATTGCGTTCGTCTACTTGTATGAGAGAGCGTGAGTTCATGCATGTATATTGGTCTGGGTATGAATGCGTGTGTTCGTGTATGTGTGTTCTTATGAGTTCATGTGTGTGTTCGTGTAAGTTTGCATAC